ACTATTTTAACGATTAAGAAAAATTTTAACTTTACAATCAGTAAAATTAAAATTTAAACCATTTAAACCATCAAAGTGAAAATTTGTATTATCATCACGCTGAGTTGCTTGTGGAATAGGTAAAGGGGTAAATGGTAATCGAGACTGAGATTGGGTAAGAAAATTCATTTGGCCTTTGTTTTTATCATAATTCTTACAATTGTCATATTCATTATCGATTTCAGTATTTTCCCTGTCACTTTCATTACTTTTTTCAGCTTCATTATTATCATTATTGTTATTCTTATGATATAAAAATTTAAAATTATTTATTGTATTACAAACATAACAATTGATATAAAATATATATACCTTTTTAGTACCAGGTGGTACTACAAGTTTCACAACAGTGATTCATTGCAGTTTGTTTTGTGTTCAATACATATTATATGCATCAATTGTATAATGCTTAGTTATGCTCATCATGACTTGAACATTGACACCAGAATTATTTAATTTTTGGGCAGTATGTTTGCGAAGTGAGTGATTAACAATCCTTCTGCTAGCACAGTTAATGCCTGTTATAGTACAGATGTCTTTCAAAAAACTTGATAACTTATTATGGCCTAAGTGATGATTAGAATACCAAATATCATCTAAAAGAAGAAAAGAAAAAAAAAATAAAAAATAAAATATATATATATATATATATATATATATATATAAAATATATTATAAATAATATTATAATAATAAATAAATATATCTGAATAATTAATAAGAGGATGATACCTTCAAACTTTAATAGAATGCAGGCTATGTGCAGGATGCAATCTTAATTCTAACTGAATCTAAAATTACTATACCTTCAATATATCTGCAACTCTATCAACTAAATTCCAAGATAAAAAACTTATAGGCAGTACTTCAACAACAATAAAACTAAATGCTAACTACTTAGATCTTGTCTATGTAATAGCTAACAGAAATCCAATATATATTTCACTACTACTTTCTATACTAATAAATGACTCTCTAGCACTTGAGATATTCCAAAATAATACTATCTCTCAGGAACTAACCAAATTGCTATCTCAAACTCAGACTATACAGAAATTACTTTTTACACAGATGACTTAGTTCACAATCTTATAACTAACTAATGTTTATAGGATTAGCTAGATACAAACAAACAATGAATAATTATACATTCCTTTGCAGCACAAATAAACTACTAGCCAACTTTATACAAAGCAGAACTCTTAGCTATACTATTAGCAATTAGTATAGCACTATATAACTAAAAATTAACATATTTACTGACTCCCAAACAGTCATTAGCAAATACCAAAAGCTAATCCAGAAACCTATTAACCTATCACATATTCTTTTCTTCAACAACTGACCTATCTAGTATATACTACTAAACCTTATTAAATCATTTAACTTTACTCTTAACTTAAAAAAGTTTAAGCATATAGAAATAATATTTTTAATAACAAAGCTGATTTACTAGTACAAAACTACAATTATTTCTAATATCTTATACTCAATCATTCTAATATCTATAACCTATACTATTATATCAAATAGTAAAATTTTCTAGTAGAATAACCAACATACAGATTTGTTAAAAATATATGCAATACATATATTATTGCAATATAGTCATTACTAAATAGAAACCAATTCTAGAACCTAGTTGCTAATCAAATTGACTAGAACTTAATATGACTATATATTAATAATAACAACAAAAGATTATACAATTTTACCAACTTCATATTAAGCAAATTTAAAATATTTAGAGTTAAACTTCTCTACAATGAACTTCCTATCTCAACTCATCTTTACATTTTTTATCCTAATACTAGTATTAACAGATGTTTTATTTGCAATGAAGTAGACTATAAACTATACTGAATATCATACTTTAATGCAACCTTTTTCTTTTAAATTATTCAACAATCAATCATATAACTACTAAACTCAACTAACTTAGAAATCTTAGAATATGAACTCAATACTTTTAACAACCTTATAACAAATCACTACTCATTACAATTATTTACTCAACTCTACAACTCTATTTTCCTACTTTCTACTCTTAAAGAACTGATACCATACTCACTAATTAATACTATTAAACCTTTTGTTAATACTTTACAAATAGTATCACAAATTATAATCAAACTACTTCTCAAACTCAATTCACAAATATATAAACTAATTTAGAAACTATACTATACTCAATTTATTCAATAGAAAAAAGCAAACAATATTCAAATTTTATATCTCTAAACTTCTAAATCCAGAAAAAATAGAATAACAAATTTACAAACTTACCAACTCATATCTACATATAGCTGTATCTGCAGGCTTGCTGACTAATTATATTATAATAATTAATATTTTTTGCAGAGCTTAGCAATTAAGAAGGTAGCTGAATAGGAAGCTTACTGAGTAAAATATAGCTACTTAACTAATTTAATTCTATCTAATCTAATTTAGATGAGTCTTAAACTCTAGTAAATTTAAGAAACAGATTACTATAGTTATAGCTAGCTTTAATATAGTTAATATTATAGTTATCTGAGTTTTAATTCTTGCACATAATATATAACTAAGTAGTTCATTGTTAATTCTTAACTATATAATTATTAATAAAAATAAAAACAAGATCTCACCTTGACCTCAAAGTCAAAATTAAAAAAAAAATTAATAAAAGAATGAAGAAAAATTCTTTATCAGTATTAGAAGGCTATTTTGAAATATATAGCTTGATATCAGTAATCAGACTATATTCATTTAGTTTATTTGTAGAAATATATAGAACTAATTTTTAGCTATTTCATATGTATATTAGTAGTATAAATAGCTATCTTGATATATTTTATCATGAATTGTTAACAAATTATATCCACTATCATCTTGTAAAACTAAATCTTTTAACTTTATTTTGTAATAAGAACTACTTTGTCATGTAGTAATACAACTATTTTAAAGAAATACCATATATAAAAGTCCTTATAAAGTATCTTGTGATATTTGTTAGTGATTAAAAATAATTTTCATTTCCTTCTCAATTAAGAGATCTGCACTTTAGTATGAAGTTATTTCTTCTAATTCTTTTATTCTACTATGCAATATATTATAAAACTCCTTAAACTTAAAATCCAAATAGATATTAACTAGTTGATACTTAAAAGTAGTTTGCAAATAATGATTAATAGCATTAATTCTAATATATAAAGTTTCTGATAAATACTCTATATTATTTAGTATCTTTACTTGAACAATGAATTCAGATAGAAGACTTGTAATAATTACTTTATTTTCAGATATATTAAGGTTGAGTTAGGTTGAACATCTTTAATATAATTTTTAAATCAGTTAGTTATGTTATAGTACTTTTTTAAGTATTTGAAGGTATTGTATTTTTTTTGTATTATTAAAGTTTTTTATTTAATAGTCTTTCTAATTTTTTATAAATATTAGATAGTTCACTATAAGTTTAATAAAAATCAGATATATTTATAAAAGAATATTTTATTTTTTCTTTTTTGATAATTTAAAGAAAAGAAAATACTTGAATTATTAAATTTTACATTATCATTATTTTATATAAAGGTTTAAATTATTAAATTTGATATTATTTTATATAAAAGTTTAAATCATTAAATTAAATTAATATCTATTATTTATATAAAATTAAAATGATATATTTATAATATTTTTTTCATGTGAAAGATCAGAGTTTAAGTAATAATATCTTAAGTTATTATGTATTAGTAGATTTTTCTCAGATAGTATTAATAGAAATATATAACTAGCTGCTTACATAGCTATTCATATATTTCTGTTAACACTATTTAGGAAAAATCTACTAATATCTAACTACTCAAGATATTATTATTACAAATATTCAAGTGTTAATAGAGTTATTTAAACAAATACATTAGTTTCTCAAAATAACTATTCTTTTGAGTTTATTCAAAACTAGAATCAAACTATTCTTATATTTATTCAGAATAAACTATTGATTTTCTAAGAGATATTGATAATATTTATATATATTAGAGAGAGTACAAATGTTAGTAATATAACTATTAATTATTTTAATAGTTATATAGAGTAATTAATTAAATAAGAGATAAAAATAATATATATACTGTATATTAATCATTTTATTAAGCATGATATACTAACTTAATACATTTAAATTAAAATGTAATTATACAAAATTTTACATATTAACTTGTAATTAAATAAATATATTTTAATATTTAAATATTTATAAAATATATTTATAAAAAAAAATTAAATTAAATTTTAATTATATTGTTTAAAAAAATCTTAAAGTTGGTTAATTTTTTAAAAAAAATTAGAAAATTAAAATTTTTTAATATATTTATTAATTAACCAATTAGAATTATGTATTTTTTATATTATATAAGTATTTTGAAATAATCTTAGTATATAAATCTATAAAATTATAATTATAATTATTATATATAAAAAAGTTATAGTAAAAAAAATTACTAAATTAAATTAATTTACTATTATAATATTTTTTTTACTTTTTTAAAGATAGCAACTAACTAGTATGACTAATAATATTAATTATTTTGTATAATATTACTAAATTACAAATTAGTAGAATATTTTTAAAATATTTAACAAAAAAGATATTTAGTAATTTGTAATTAAGAAAAAGGTAATATTTAAAATATCAATAAAATATTAGAAATATACTTTATTTTTGAAAGTATATAAAGATACAATATTGAACTTAAAATTCAAATATATTATTTTTATTTTTACAAAATATTAGAAATATAACAAATTATATAAGCTATATATACTATATCTATTACTAATAAAATATATACTATTATTAACTCTTTTTATCAATTCTTTAACTACTTTTTTTTTAAAAAAAAAATCTAATTTATGAAAATACTTTTTATTATATAGATAATAATATTTTTTCCTAAGTTTTTATAACATATTATATATATATTATAGATAAATATCTTCTTTGTAAGCTTTTTTGAATTGTATTATCTGAAATAATTTTTGAATACTATTAAAAAAGTAGTAGCAGAGCTAAAAAAATATCTCTGTTAACTCAAGTAATATTTATTAGTAGTTTGCTAGTATAGAGATAGCTAGTTATAATATATATT